AGGGTGCAGGAGCCGGCAGGGGGGTGGGAGGGCTGGGCGGGAGGTAAGGTGCAGGAGAGGAAAGGGGGGTGCAGCAGTGGGCTGAGGCGCTGGCTCCCCAGTGCTGGGGGCGGAGAGTACCTTGAGCTTCGGGGGCCGGAACCAGCCCCTAGGGCTTCGATCCCCCGTCTCTCGATACACAAACCTTGAAGGGTAGAAAAGAGGCCCGGAAAGAATTTGAGGGCATTAGAAAATGCTTTGCTGTGAGAGACGTCAAGGGCTCGACCGGTTTAGAAAGAAGCCTGAGACGGGACTGGATGACTGAGCTGAAGCTCCTTCGGGGGCAGAAGGTACCAGGTACTAACGGGCTCTTTCATCTAGTGAAGGACATCAGAGCAAGAACCAACACAGGGGGTGTGGTGGATTCTCCAGGGCTAACGCTCCAGCTACACAAGTTACTGGGCTCAATACGGGGGACCTTCACGAACATCCGATCTGGCATCTTGCATCTCCCGGCCTAGGGAACACCGCCCAGCACCGCGTGCGCCAAACCTGGAACGTCTGACCGAGCTGCCGTGTGAGTTCTGGAGAGGCACTTGGGCGCGACGTAGGAACAGAGTTTTTCAATTAAGCGTCTCCCCCGCCCCAAGCCCTTCGTACACCTTTTTCCTCCTTGAATGGGGCGGTCTTCAAGGCAGAGACCCCATCCTTGTTGGTGCAGGGCCTACAGGACAAAAGGTACCCGATCTTGACAGAGCCCTCCGGACTCAATTATACCCTGAGGATGAAACAGGAACATCCACCTATTTTGCAATGATCCAACCACAGCAAAGGATCTGAAGAGAACTGAAGGGGATGGACAGATTTCCATTTGGATTCGCTCTGCCCAGCAGGGTGCTGCTGGATCTCCCTGGAAAGAAGGATAACCCGAGTTTTGCATTCAGGATCAGCTCCCCCTTTCCTCCTGCTTACAACTGCTTTGCTAGTTATCCGATTCTTTCTGAGCTAGGTAGGAAGGAGGGAAAAATCCCCACCCAGGCCTGCATGCTGGATATGGTACTACAAATTCCACATGAAAGGGTGACTGATACGGGGGTGGGGGAGACACAGTGACTAAGCACACAGGGGCGGTGTATTGTCGTGAGCAGACGCACCACGCCCGAGTGACAGCAAAAGCCTTGTGAGCAGCAAGCTGTGTGCACAGATCCGTTAACTTATGTTCCTCCCCGAATCCTTCTCTCGCTCAGGAAACTCCTGTCACCTTCATCGCGTGCATGACCTCCCTCTGATTCTGTTCCTTAGCTCTCCAGCTACTCTGGCATCCTCGCTAACCTTCAGCCATGAGGATCCTCCACACTTTGCCCTTGTTTTAGACTCCGTGTTGGCTCCAGGTAAGAAGGGATCGTAAATAGAGGAGTTAAGAAGAGAATTAGCAGTCTAATAAGAGACTGAATTTGTATCCCCAGACAGGAGTTAGGGAGCTTTTCAGCACTGATCACTAAGCCCTGGTCTACACTAGGGAGTGATTTCAAAATAACCCCCCTAATTTTGAAATAATAAGTGGAGCGTCCTCACAACCAAGCCCCTTAGTTTAAAATAACGGGCTGGTTAGTGTGAAATCGGTATGCCTGCTTTCCTCGGGGAATAACGCTGATTTCCAAGTAGCAGGAGTGCGGACGCTCCGCTGCTGGTATTTCGAAATAACGACTCCCCAGAGTCATTCGAAGTGATTACTCCCCAGGGTTTCCTGGGACTCTAAGTCGAGGTAGTGCATCCACACTAACGGAGCCTGCCTGGGACTCATTTTGAGGCTTCCCCGTGGTGACGACACGCTAGTTCAATGTTATTTCGGGAGTTGTTATTTTCAATGTAGTTATTTCAAAATAATTTCCTAGCATAGCCCTGCCTGTAATGTCATTCGGGTTATGGGACTCTGGCATACGGCACATTCTACAATCTCAGACCGGTGGAGGTAGCTGTGAACATCATCATGACCAGGGCTTGACAAACGGCGGCGAAACCTACTCACCCGCCCCGCACTGCGCATGCGCAAGACCCGCATTGCACATGCGCACGCCGCCGGTGAACGAGGAGGCCGGCTGAAATCTACTCACGACAGGTGAGTAGATTCAGTGATTTGTCGAGCCCTGAGCATGACCACTGATGGGTAACAGAGCCAGATCAAGAGTTTGGAGTAGTTTGGAGTATACTGCGGGAATTTGCATATCTTCTTCTGATCTCACTTTCGAAAGTGGATCTTTCAAAAGTGAAAGTAGTCTGGACGTGGGTCTTGACTTAAAACCTGCTCTTCCTTAAAAAATGAGGTTTATGTGGTTTTTTCAAAAAAGGGGATTTTCCCCCCAAAAAAACACATCGGCTGTGTCTACATTGGCACCCCTTTCGGAAAAGGGATGTTAATGTAGCACTTTGGAATAGGCAAATCCGCAGGGGATTTAAATATCCCCCGCGGTATTTGCATTAACATGGCTGCCGCTTTTTTTCGGCTTGGGGAAAAGCCGGAGAAAAGCGCCAATCTAGACGTGATTCTCCGGAAAATAAGCCCTTTTCTGGAGGATCTCTTATTACTTTCAAGTAGGAATAAGAAGTCCTCTGGAAAAGGCTTTATTCAAAGCTGATTTCAAAGTTCTGGTTTTCTAGTTATACTTATGGCTGCAGGAGGCAACTCTGGGGCCTGTTGTAGAGGTCCAGGGGCAAATTTCCACCCAGCTTTCACCAAGCCTCCGCTTGGGCAGCTGTTCTTGGACAGCTAGGCCTGGGCACCTGTAGCTCTGAAACTCAAGCGTCCAAATGACCTCCCTGTACTTACAATTGTGGACATGCAGCTACATCCACAGTGACTTGCCCTTATGATAAGCATGTAAAGTGAGTTGTCATGGGATAAGAGGGAAGATCCTTTCATGGACTGAGAACTGGTTAAAAGATAGGAAACAAAGAGTTGAACTAAATGGTCAGTTTTCAGAATGGAGAGGGGTAACTATGGTGTCCCTCAAGGGTACGTACTGGGACCAATCCTATTTAACCCATTTCTAAAAGATCTGCAGAAAGAGGCAAAGCGCGAAGTGGGAAAATTTGCAGATGATACTAAACTGCTCAAGATAGTTAAGACCAAAGCAGATCCTTCAAAAGGATCTCACAAAACTAGGTGATTGTGCAACAAAATGGCAAATGAAATTTAATGTTGATAAATGTAAAGTAATGCACTCTGGAAAAAATAACCCCGACCACACACACAGAATGGGGGGGGACTAATTTAGCTATAACTACTCAAGAGAGATATTTTTGGAATCACTGTGGATAGTTTGCTGAAAACATTCATTCAGGCTATGTCTACACTGCAGAGTTTTTCCAGGATACCAGCGGTATCCCAGAAGAACACTGCTGCGTCCAGGGAATGTGTCTGCTCTTCCAAAAAAATTTTCGGAAGATCAGACGCACATTTTTCGGCATCCCTGTAAACCTTGTTTTTTGAGGAAGAAGGGATGTTCCAAAACAGGGTTTTTTTCCGACATATGGCCCAGTGTAAACCGGCCAATGTTGGAAAAGCCTCTTCTGAAAAAAGAAGTGGAAAAAGTTACGCAAATTGCCGTTCACAATTTGCGTAGTTTTTTCTGGAAGAACTTTGTAGTGTAGACGTAGTCCCCATGTGCAGCCGCAGTCAAATAAGCAAACAGTATGTTAGGAGTCATTAAAAAGGGGATAGAGAATAAGATAGAGAATATCTTATTGCCTCTGTAGAAAACCATGGTACGCCCACGTCTTGAATACTGTGTGCTGCTGTGGTCGTCTCATCTCAAAAGAGATCTCTTGGCATTGGAAAAGGTTCAGAAAAGGGCAACAAAAATGAGGAGGGGTTTGGAACGGATCCCATATGAAGAGAGAATTAAAAGATGGGGACTTTTTAGCTTAGAGAAGAAGAAACTAAGGGGGGATAGGATAGAGGTCTATAAAATCATGACTGCTGTGGAGAAAGCGAATAAGGAAAAGCTATTTATTTGTTCCCACAATATAAGCACAAGGGGGTCACCCAATGAAATTAACAGGTAGCAGATGTAAAACAAACAAAAAGAAGTTTTTCTTCATGAAGTGCACAGTCTACCTGTGGAACTCCTTGCCAGAGGAGGTTGCGAAGACCAGGACTTTAATAGGGTTCACAAAAGAACTCAATAAATTCATGCAGGTTAGGTCCTTCCCTTATTTGCCAGAATGGGTAGGAATAATGTCCCTAGTCTCTATTTGTCAGGGGCTGAAAATGGATGACAAGGAGGGATCACTTGCTCATCATCTAATAAACCATCTTGTTAGTCTTTAAAGTGCTACATAGTCCTGTATTTTGATGATTACCTGTTCCCTCCCTCTGGGACACCTGGTATTGGCCACTGTGGGCAGACAGGACACTGGGCTAGATGGACCTTTGGTCTGACCCAGCATGGCCGTTCTTAAGTTCTCATGCTCTTAACACGAGACCAAAGTCTGAAAACCTGATTGCTTGTGTACCAACAATGAATGAACAACGTCTCGTGTAGGCTGTTACCAAAATTCCTGTTTTCCTGTGGGTTTTGTGCCCTGACAAATAACTCCAAACTGTTTCCCTTGTGCAGGAGATGTGCACCCTTGAATACAGATGTCACTGCAGCCACCCTGTAAATTGGCCAATGTAAGAGGTGAATTCATTGTTGAAACTTCTGAGAGGAAGGGATGCTGTTTGAAGACACTATCTGACCCTAATCAGAGCTGAGGATAGCTCCAATCAAGGAAACAGCTGTTTCTCTCTCTTATCAGTCCTCTTTTAAAAGAAAGACCCTCTTGGGTCACTACACAGCTTAGGTGTTTTGTTTTTGTTCTTCTCCTCAAACCTCATAGAATCTTGTCAGTCATGTCTTCAAGGTGTATCTACAGTCACCTAGTGCAACCCTACGTAATACTGATGCTTAATTTCTTCATGTTAATAAACAATAGTTATTCTTAAAATTTAAAAGTTTATATAAGCTTAGAGGACACATTTTTTTTATTTGTTTATACATTACATAAATAAATACACATTTACAGATCCTAGTGTGCAAATCTATTATATTATACCAGCGAGATAAATCATGCATGCAAATTGCGCATCAAAGTTGTAAAATGGGTTACAAAAGCATAAAAATAAGATATTCAAATATTCATTGAACAGATGATGGGTACGCCGAATATGCTCCTTGCTTTGGATACCTGACTACAGAAGAGCTGATGGATGAGCAATATCAGCTACATGCCTCTGTGCATTGACTATAATCAATATGTCTGTCTTCGTTTATTTTGCTCACAAATAAATAATGGTAGGGACTCCCAGACTGTGATTCTAGCACTCAGAGAGGTTGGCTCTGGCAGGAATAGGCTCTTGAGATGCTGCCAGCCTCTCTCACCAGAGCTAGGGTGGAAGCAACCGATATGGAAAGGCTGAGGACCAAAAGGAACCAGCATAGTTCTGTTTGTTTAATGGGAAGTTCTGCCTCTCTTCTCCATAAAACATGGGGCCTTTATCCAGTGTGTTCTTCCAGACAGGAGTGCTAGAGCAGATTTAAGTTTGTGTCAGGACAGCTTTTAACCCTCTACAGAGACAACAATCCCTCCTTCCCATTTTACAGATGGGAAGACTGAGACACAAGGCAGTGAAGGCCATTGGTCCTAGTCAGAGTTAGGACCAGAGTTAGTGCCAGCGCCGCTCCAAGAGTCTCTCTTCCTCCGATCCCATCCCTCAGCTCCAGTCCTTCAGCCCCTCCCCACAAGCCTCTCTCCTCACAAGGCAGTGAAGGCCATTGGTCCTAGTCAGAGTTAGGACCAGAGTTAGTGCCAGCGCCGCTCCAAGAGTCTCTCTTCCTCCGATCCCATCCCTCAGCTCCAGTCCTTCAGCCCCTCCCCAGAACAGTGATTTAAATGAAGAAAAACAAAACTTATTTAAGAACCTGAGCAATGACAGGTGAATCTTCTAGTTGTAAATAAAATCAGTCAATTTTTCAAAGCATTTTAGTTGAAAAATTACTTTTTTAAAATTGAAAATTTTGTTTTTCACAAAAAGATTTCTCTTTAAAATTATTTTACTGCAGATATTCAAAATGCTATCAGAATGGCTATTGACATTATTCAATAAAAGTTTAGGTTAAAAACATGATATGTTATACAACACCCTTCTGAATCTTCATTTTTGCAAATAGTCTTTTCAAAATTTCTTGTTTTATTAGGATGTCTGATTGAATTCACAATAGAATACATGATTTCCCTCCTTCACTTTCATTTCTTGTCTTCCTTGAATGAAAATAGAAGGCTCAATTTCAAATCAATGGTCTCAATGCTTTTGAGGATCACGATTGACCGTAACATGAGTCTGAGAATTAATTTTCTGATCGTTAAGTGAGATTTGAGAATGACAGTAACTATTAGTGTTAAATGACTACAGCAGATCTTTGCAGGGCCACCTGGAGGGGGAAAAAAACGTATAGAGGTTAAATATCCTATATAATTGAAAGTTTGTTTGTCTGGCTATGTCCACACTACGAGTTTTCTTGGCAAAAAATATGCTAATGAAGGACTCATTTGCAGGAGTCATGATCTCATTTGCATATTTTCTGCCAATCCATTTTTTCGCTAGGGTTTTTGCGCAAAAGCAAGCAGTGTGTGTTTTCTTTTTGCACAAAAACCCCTTTTCTTGCAAGATCAGTAAACCTCCTTTTTTGGGGCATAAGGATCTTATAGGAAAAGAGGTTTTTGCGCAAAAAGGAAACATCCACATTACTTGTTTTTGCGCAAAAACCCTAGCAAAAAAAAGGATCAGCAGAAAATATGGAAATGAGATCATGACTCATGCAAACGAGCCCCTCATTAGCATATTTTTTGCTGAGAAAACTCGTAGTATAGCTGTAGCCTCTGAGAGTCTGTTCAAGAACTCTTCTAAAGGGTAAGAGCAAGGGCCGCTAAATTTGTTATGCAGCTTCCTCTTACCATAACATAAAGCAAGGTCAGGATTGATTGTGACAGGACAATGGGATGTGCCTGAAATGTGATTCTCATAAAATGCAAAGGGGAGGGTGGTCTGCTTGCATGTGCAATTACACTGTTGAATTACCACAGGGGAATGGGCACACTGGTATGAGAGTGGCTGGCTGGGAGTGGAGCTCTGAATGTTGCTGGCTACCTGTAAGGTGGTGGGTGGGCAGCATGGCCCCTGTTGCCACTCCCAGGGAGCTCCCCTGGCCAGGCAATATAGCTCCCACTGTCACAGTCAGTGCCGGTAAGCCCCCTGGACAGCCTCAGGTAGCCCCCATCTGCACGTCCTGTC